TCCCAGAATTTTGGGAGGCTGAGGCGGGCAGCTCACAGGGTCAGGAGTTCGAGAACAGCCTGGTCAATATGGTGAACACCATCTCTACTAAAAACACAAAAATGAGCTGGGTGTGATGGCGGCCACCTGGAGTCCCAGCTACTCAGGAGGCTAAGGCAGGAGAATCGCTTGAACCCAGAAAGCGGAGGGTACAGTGAGCCAAGATTGCACCACTGCACTCCAGCCTGGCAAAAGAGCGAGACTCCATCTCAATCAGTCAATCAATAAGATACCTGTTCCTAAAAGTTAAGCGTTCACACCAATAAGGAATTCAAATCAGGCTAAGGTTGCTTCCCAGCACTGGTCGTCAAACCTGTCAAACCTCTATCAAACCACCTGGTCAAACCACCTGGAAAGCCAGAACCACCCAGGAGGGTCATTCGGTGGGTCTGGTGTGGAGGCGGAGACTTACGTGGCCAGCTCACAGGTGATGCTGACCGGCTGGCTGGGGAAATGCACTTAGAAAACCTAAGTATACTTCTCTGATATGCTAATATTTTGTCTTGGTCTGTAGAGGACCAGGATCCCCTGAAGGACAGAGGGGGCCTCTGTGTTCTCCCTGGTACCAGGAGCTCCTGCCTTTTGCTTGTCACGACATCCAGCAAGGCCCATGATTTCATCAAGCACCGGGGCTGCCTGGGCCCTTTCCAGTGAGGCACCCACTGACCATATCTTGGAACCCCAAACCTGGCACATGTGTGTGCGGGTGCATGGCCCTAGCCCAAGGGGGCTGCAGGTACCCCTGTCCCCCACCATGTTCACACAGCACAGGAACAGAGAAGGCAGACTCTTGGAGGAGCACATCACCTGCACCAAAATCCAGCTCTTCCACTGGGGGCATGGCCCTGGCGCCACCTTCAGCAGCCCTGGGTGGTCAGATGTGCCCATCCCGGGGCTCCTTCCTCGGGGCCAGCCCTGGCCTGGTCTCAGCCCCTGTGTGTGATGTGGTTGGGGGCTGTGATAGGTTAGGACCTCCATCTTTCCCAGCTGCCGTCAGAAGAGATGGGGAAGGTGAAGCGGGGTGGGGCACAGAACCAAGCAAGAGCTGTGAGTGAAGGCAGGGACCACGGCCCTATTGGCCAAGTCCTCCTTGAAGGCATCACTGTGGAGGCTGGGCGGAGCTCCCCAGAATACCCCTCAGGAAATAGGGGGTGCACACAAATGGCAACACGCACAAAAAGGCACTCAGCACTGCTAATCATCAGAAAACTGCAAATCAAACCACAATGAGATGCCATCTCACACTTGTTACGAGGGCTCCTATAAAAAAGAAAAAGGCCTGGAATTCCAGCAATTTGGGAGGCCCAGGCAGGGGGATCACTTGAGCCCAGGACTTCAAGACCAGCCTCGGCAACACAGCAAGATACATAAATGAAAAATAAAGTCATTCCAGGTATGGTGATTCATGCCTGTAATCCCAGCACTTTGGGAGGCTGGGTGGGGTGAGTGGATCTCTTGAGCCTAGGAGTTCAAGACCAGCCTGGGCAACATGACAAAAATCCCTTTTCTTTTTTTTTTTTTGAGACTGAGTTTCACTAGGGTTGCCCAGGTTGGAGTGCAACGGCGCGCCGTCTTGGCTCACTGCAACCTCCACCTCCCGGGTTTAAGCAATTCTCCTGTCATGGCCTCCCGGGTAGCTGGGATTACAGGCATGTGCCACCAGGTCTGGCTAACTTTATATTTTTAGTAGAGACGGGGTTTCTCCATGTTGGTCAGGCTGGTCTCGAACTCCCAACCTCAGGTGATCCACCCGCCTTGGCTTCCCAAAGTGCTGGGATTACAGACGTGACATTTCTACAAAAATAAACAAAAACTAGCAGGGTGTGGTGATGTGGGCGCCTGTAGTCCCAGCTACTTGAGAGGCTGAGGTAGGAGGATTGCTTAAGCCTGGGAAGCAGAGGTTGTAGCGAGCCGAGATCATTCCACTGTGCTCCAGCCTGGGCGACAGAGGGAGACCTGGTCTCAAAAAATAAAGAAAATCGGCCGGGCGCGGTGGCTCAAGCCTGTAATCCCAGCACTTTGGGAGGTTGAGGCGGGTGGATCACGAGGTGAACAGATCGAGACCATCCTGGTCAACATGGTGAAACCCCGTCTCTACTAAAAATACAAAAAAATTAGCTGGGCATGGTGGCGTGAGCCTGTAATCCCAGCTACTCAGAAGGCTGAGGCAGGAGACTTGCCTGAACCCGGGAGGCGGAGGTTGTGGTGAGCCGAGATTGCGCCATTGCACTCCAGCCTGGGTAACAAGAGCAAAACTCCGTCTCAAAAAAAAAAAGAAAGAAAGAAAATCACAAGTGTTGGCAATGATGCGGAACCCTTGTGCATTGTTGGTGGGAATGTGAAATGCTGTAGCCAACTACAGAAAAGAGTAAAAAAATGCCTTAAAAAAATAAAGATAAAACTACCATATGATTCAGCAATTCCACTTCTGGGCATATACCCAAAGAACCAAAGAGTCTTGAGGAGAGATTTGCACATCTATGCTCCTAGTAGCAGTGTTCACAATGACCAAGAAGAAGAGGCAGCGCACTGTCCATCCACAGATGCTGGGTGAAGAAAACATGGTCAGCCAGGCGCGGTGGCTCATGCCTGTAATCCTAGCACTTTGGGAGGCTGAGGTGGGTGGATCACCTGAGGTCATGAGTTCAAGACCAGTTCAAAAAAAAAAAAAAAAGAAACGAAACCGTGGTTTATGCGTACAGTGGAATATTATTCAGTCTCAAAAAGAAAGGAAATCCCATCATATGCTACGACACAGATGAACACTGAGGACATTATGCTAAGTGAAATAAGCCAGTCCCGAAAGGACAAATACAGCGTGATCCACTTAAATGACATCCCTAGTACAGTGAAATTCATAGGAAGTAGAATGGGGGTTGCCTGGGATAGGAGGAGGTGGAAATAGGCGGTTAATTAATGGGTACAGAGTGTGTTTCATGAAATGAAAACGTTCTGGAGATGTTTTACAACACTGTAAATGGACTTAATGCTACTGAACTGTACACTTAAAAATGGTTGGTGGGGGGTGGTGGGGGGGCTGAGCATGGTGGCTCACACCTGTAATCCAAGCACTTTGGGAGGCCGAGGTGGGTGGATCACAAGGTCAGGAGATCGAGACCATCCTGGCTAACACGGTGAAACTCCATCTCTACTAAAAACACAAAAAATTAGACAGGCATGGTGGTGTGCGCCTGTAGTCCCAGCTACTTGGAAGGCTGAGGCAGGAGAATCGCTTGAACCTGGGAGGCAGAGGTTGCAGTGAGCTGAGATTGCGCCACTGCACTCCAGCCTGGGTGACAGAGTGAGACTCCATCTAAAAAAAAAAAATGTTCACATGTGTCAGGGGCACTCAGAGAGGCCCAAGTGGGTGATCTAGAAAACCCATGGAAGGAACCCTGGTGGCTGGTGTCAGCTAATCCTCCCCAGCCACCTCCAAGCACCCTGCAGCTGTTCAGGAAAGGGCATCTAGGATACTGGTTCCTGCTATGGGCTCCAGGGCTGGGCTCATGATCCCTGTCCTGGGGCCACCATTTCCTCTGTGTCACTTCTGTGTGCCTTACTCTACTCATCTGGAAAATGGGAGAACAGTACTTTATAAGGTGCTGAGAGGATGAAATGAATTAGATCTGAAGGGTTTGTTTAGAATCACGCCTGGCAGTCAGTGCTGTTGTTAGCTCTGGTTGGGAGATAACGAGGTGAGTGTGTGCATCCCGCAGGAGTTTCAGTTCTGTTTATCACCCCACCCGGGGGGGCTGACAGCAGGTGATGCTACTGAGGGGCAGGCAGAGCAGGTCTGAGGTGTGGGACCCTCTGGCAGGTCCCTGGAGTGTGGCCTGGTATCTCCTAGGTCTTGGGTGTGGCTGGGCCAGGAGCACGGAAGCTGGGGGAAGGATGGACAGCTCCAGGGCCCAGACGTCCAACTTCCTTTGGCGTCCAGCTGACCCAGGCCTGACATAGAGGAAAGTGATTGCCACACAGGAGTTGGGATCACAGCAGGGAACATGGCCTCTCGTGCCTTTTTCTGACACCCTCCTTCAACTGCCTGCTTCCCTCTCCTCCATCTGATACCCTGCGCGTGTTCCTGGTTTGTGTTTTGATTGCCAGTCTCCCTGCTGGACATTCTCAGCTCAAACACAGGAGTCCCCAGCATGGGTGGAGGGCTTCAGGCAGTCCTGGCCAGTCCACAGCTGGTCTGACCTACCAGCAGTGTGGCACCGAGGCCTCAAGCCAATAGGGAAGTCCCCACGGATGCCACCAGCCCAGCAGACACTGACCTGACTTAGAAGCTGCTGTGCTCCCCACCACCCTAGGAAAGCAACTACTGGCCCGGGCCCACATCCCTCCAGATGGGGAGGGGCTCAGCCACCATAAGACACCTTCCCAGCCCCACTCTGGGTCCTCAGAGGTCCTGGCCACCCCCACCTTTTCCACCTGCAACTGCTGCCCCTTGCCGAGAGCCTAAGACCTGGGCTGGAAAAGCCGTCCACAGTCCCTGCCTGTGCTTCCGGCAGACATCACCAATCAATCCTGCCACTGTCATGCTGAGCAGCAGGCAGCCTGGATGCCTTGCCTCTGAGCTGCAGGCTTCTACAAGCCTGGAGTGGGCCACTGCTGGGGGCAAGGGACACCCAGAGGAGGACCTGCCTAAGATGCCACAGTGAGGCAGTGGCAGAGCCAGCCTTGGTGCCATTCTTCCCAAAAGCAGGCCACCAGTCACAGGGAGAGGGAGGCCTGGCTCATCCCCCAGGAACCCACAGCCCTCTGAATACTAAGGGAGGACTCAAACAGTCCTCTCCACAGCAAGTCAGTGGTGATGGCGGAGGTGGGGTGGCTTCAGGATTTGGGTTTAATCCCAAGCACGAGGGCGGGCAGGGAAAGGATTTGGTTTCATTCCTTCAGATGCCCAAGCCTTGGCTGGAGCCCCAGGGTGCAGGAGTGAGGGCGCGTGGCCACCCAGCCTGTACCAACAAAGCCTTCCTTTATTAAATAGAGATCGCGTTACATTCCATCAGAAGAAGGAAATCCGGATGTGGTGAGGGATGTGTCCAGGTGGGAGCCCCTAACCCTGGTCTGGTCCCGAGTGGGCTCTGATGGGTGGGAGGGCCCAGGTCCTGCCTGCCCACCCAGGCCCCACAAGCCAGGGCGGGTGTCTGCATGGCCACCCACAGCGGAAAACAGGCGTGGGCCATCTGAAACCCTGTGTGTGTTCTACTGTGGGAGACAGTGCCCCAATCCTTCCAGCGGTTTTGGGAGCAGGGCCTCCAGGAGCACAGGACTGAGATGGGGTGGGAGAGGAGGTGACAAGGGAGGCCTTTATGAAGGGGAAGGGCGGGGGAAGAAGGGAAGGAGGGAGGGGGAGGGGCCCTGATTCATCTTAACAAGGTTTTGGGGCAGTTCTGTGCTGTGGAGGCCCCGCCAGCTCCTCCTAGCAGTCCAGTAGAGAAGCCACAGAGAACAAGGCACGGGACAGCCACAAGGGGGCGCTGCTGGCCCAGGGCTTGGCAGCTTGGGCGGAGGGTACCCCGGAGATCCAGCCACCCATACAGTCCCTTTCTGAAGACATGCTGGCAACAAGGCACCTGCAGGTGGTTCTGGGGACTGGGGAGGGGGACGCTGGCTGCCTCAGGTGTCCCCTCCCAAGGGCTGAGGACCCCCGAGTATGGATCCAAGCTCCCTGGTCTTTGGTGCTTTCTTGAAATCCTCCTGGTGGTGGCAGAACCCAGTTGGGAAGAGAGAGGGGTCTTCCCATGAAGTCCAGGCCCATCCGTCCCTCTGTCTGTCCCAGGATGGACATGTGATGCCGGCTCAGGGCTGCCTCCGCGGTCTGTCTGTCCATCTGTTCTGCCTCTGGCTCCCTGCGTGTCTGCTCGCTCTGGGGTGGGTGTTGGCTCCATCTCAGAGCTCCCTCCGGGCCCGGGCTGCGCCCTAAGCCTCCTGGGGGAAGAAGCCGAGCTTGGCCAGGGACATCTCCTTCCGCAGCCGCGTGATCTCCCAGAACATGGGCTCTGCTGCAGGCAGAGAGGGTGAACAGGTTGGGGACAGCTCAGGGTCACCCTGAGGCAGATGGCCTGGTCCCCTCCCATGGCTTTTGACAGGGCAGCTGGCCAGCACTCTATGGCCCCTGGCCCCTAAGACAGATGACCTCGCCAAGTGGCTGGACCTCTCTGAGGCTCCACTCTTGAGCCTTGGAAACCGCTGAGCACTGACCACCCACAGGGGACCCGTCTGCACCACACTGAGAGTCACCCCATAGCCCAACGCAGACGTGCCGGAGAAAGACCAGCCAGACAGACCCAGGTACAGAGCTCAGCACCCTGGAGGCCTGTGAGCCCTTTAATAACCCACAACCCTCCCCGTTCCCCTGCCTCCTAGCTGAGTCTTGCCTCCGGTAGGGGCAGGTGGTCCCAGAGGGAGCTTCCCCGCCCAGCCCCACTCCTGTGTGCCATCCCTGAACTGGCCACCAGGGGGCGCTCACCGTCCTGCCGGACCAGGCCTTGCTGGATGTACCGGATGTAGGTGAAGAAGTTGCACACTGCAGTGATCTGTGGGCAGAGGCGGGGATGGTGTCACCGGCCAGCCCCACGCTCGGAGTCCCTTGACAAGCGGATCTCAGTCCAGAGCAGGAGGCCCGAGGTCCCCGCAGAGCCAGGTAGTGCTCCCGGACTCAGCTGGGACTGGGCTTCCAAGCAGTCATCAATACCAGCCTGACTAGTGCTGCTCCTAACAGCAGCAGCAGCAGCAGCCATTTAATCAAGCGCCTGCCGTGAATGAAGCAGATGCGCTTAGTATTCCACCATGCACGGGGGAATGCGGAGCCACCCAGGAGGAAGCCGCTGGCGCCCGTCACGAGGATGGCAAGGCTGACGAACCAGCCTGCAGCAGAGCTGCGGGACGAACCGGGCAGCCTGTCCTGGAGTCTACGCTGCCCTCTCACGGGCCTGCCTGCTGCAGGTGCCGGATGTCTGGGCCATCCAGGCCTCAGTCCAGAGCTACTCATAAGGTCGGGAAAGGCACAGTGTCAGAAGCCGCTCACCCGGACTGCCCAGGCCCTGGGGCCTCAGGCCTGCTCCATGCCAGGCTCCTGGGGACCCTGTGCTGGTTCAGTCATTGCTATGAGGACTCACCACAGAGGAGGCACTGTTGGTGCCTGGCCCAGGGCCCCTTCCCAGGCCCGGGCCTCATCTCCCAGCTGCTGAGAGTGGGGGCACTAATGGCTCAGAGGTGGCCCCCCATCCCTGTCCCCCTGCAGACCTCAGCCAATGACTGACTTGTGTGGCGATAGAAAGGCCAGTCCCCTTTCCTCAGGATGGAACCAACTCTACTAAGAGACCGGTGGATGGGGCTGAAGCTGGGTGGCAGCTGAGGCCACATCCTGGCTGGACTCCTCCCTCCCTTCCCTCATTCCCCTGAGATGGGCACACAATCTCCAGGTGAGGCCGTGCTTCTAGGGAACCCAGCCTAAGACAGGGTTCAAGATGGCCGGTAGCTGTGCCCGCCCGCAACAGCCCCTACTGAGTGTCCAACACTCCTGGGGAGGGCCGTCGAGTGACAGGGGCACCCATAGGCTGGGGAGCGAAGTTTCGGGGAGAGGCAGGACAGGGAGGTTCAAGAGAGCGAAGCGCGGTCAGGCCAACACGAGGCTTGTGCACCAGATGCACCTCTGGAACCTTCTCCAAAGCCCCGGCCAGCACCTGAGCCTGGGAGTCGGGAGCCCCGCGCTCTAACAGGAACTCTAGCACCACTCCTGGATTAGGTGACATCGAATGACAGAGGGGCGATGCCATCCCCTGACCATATTTCATCCATAAAGCTGCATCTGAGCTGACTGGAGAGGCCCTCCCAATGGCTCCAAAGTCAGCCACCCTGGGCAAAAAGGCCCTGTGACAGGGGACTGCTAGTGTCCTCTAGAAGCTCAGGGTGTCCCTGCCATCAGCCAGCAAGAAAGCAGGGACCTCAGTCCTTCAACCACAAGGATCTGAATGCTGCCAACAGCCGTGTGAGTTTGGAAGAGGACCCTAACGTCCAGAAAAGAACACAGCTTACTGCGACCTTGCAAGTCCCTGAGTAGAGAATCCAGTAAGCAGCTCCCCTGACGCGAGGAATTGCGAGCTGTTTTAAGCTACCAGATTGACAGTAACTTGTTACACAGCAACAGCAAGCCACTGCCCTTGGCTTGGCTGTGTGGCCCGAGTCAGTCTCTGCCTCTCTGAGCCTGTACTGTACCCTGCTCTGTAAATCAAGGTGTAAGGCTGGGTGCAGTGGCTCACACCTGTAATCCCAGTTCTTTGGGAAGCCAAGGTGTGCGGATCACTTGAGGCCAGGAGTTCGAGACCATCCTGGCCCCATCTCTACTACAAATACAAAAATTAGCCAGGCATGGTGGCACATACCCATAGTCCCAGCTACTTGGGAGGCTGAGGCAGGAGAATTGCTTAACCTGGGAGGCGGAGGTTGCAGTGAGCCGAGATGTGCCACTGCATTCCAGCCTGGGTGACAGTGAGAATCTGTCTCAAAAAAATAAACAAATAAAAATAAATAACTCCAGGTGTAGTGCTATTTATACTCCCAGGCCCAGGGCCCAGAGTCCCAGCACCCAGGTGGCCCTAAAGGAGCAAAGTAACCCTTGCAGAGGATGACTCACCCTGGCCCGGGAAGATGGTGAGATGTAGTAGTGGCTTTTGGAGTCCCCGAGCCGGATTCGGTGGCGGCAGGTACGGGTCAGCCCGCTCAGCGCACACATGCTGGGGGAAAGCAAAACAGGTCATGGGGGCTGGCTGGGCCTCACCCCCCACATCAGCCTCCCACCTGTGCATGCAGGGAAGATGCAGCAACTGAGAGGATACATGAGGGAGGGGCAGGCCTCCCTTCCCCCACCCAGCTTTCAAAGAAGCCCAGGGCCTGGCAGAAGAGGGAGCTGGCCCCAGCCGTCCCTGGGACAGACCTGAAACTCAGCTGAGCCCCACCCCTAGGACCCTTGTTTTGCCCCTACTGGGCAGGAGAGCTTGGTGAATCTCATGCCAGGGGTACAAAGCCGCACCCCCTGCAGGCGCTGCAAATGCCTCCCCCTCTACTTCTGGGACTCAGACCAGGCACTCCTCCCCCAGCTAGGCCAGTGTTGAGGTCTGGCTGCCTCCCACTTCCCAACACCCAGCAGCTACCCTGCACCCAGGCCCTCTGATCCCACTAACCCCCATATTCTCAGCCTTGTGCCAACCAACCCTGTCTAAGAGCCTTCTCTCATGCCCCCTTCTCTCCTCCCCCAAGTCCTGCATGACCTTAGCATCTTCAGCCACCTACATGCAGGGTCTCTGCAGGCCCTGAGCAACCCCCCTCTGGGCCCCACTCCCCAAACCTGCTCATCCCTGGCCACTGTCTGCTCAACTGTCTCCTTCTCACCCTCCGTTTGGTCACCAAATCCCCAGGCCAGGGCACAGCAGCAGGACTTCTGGCCAGCTGCCTGCCTCATCTCTCTTCTCCACATCACAGCCAGGAGCTCCTCCAAAAACCATGTCTGACCCATCATCTTCCCCTCTTGCTTTCCTAATTCCCAGGAAATAGGGAGAATCCCAAATAAAAGAAGGTTTAAAAAGCTCCTTGGCTGCAGGACTTATCAGAGCATTTGTTGCCTCCTGGTTCACTGTGATTCTCTGATGGACCAGAGAGCTTCTTTTCAGCTGGCAGTTATTGATTGCTTTTTTTTTTTTTTTTTGAGACAGGGCCTCACTCTGTCACCCAGACTGGAATGCAGTGGTATGATCTCAGCTCACTGCAACCTCCATCTCCCAGGCTCAAGCAATTCTCCTGACTCAGCCTCCTGAGTAGCTGAGATTACAGGCACCCACCACCACACCTGGCTACCTTTTATATTTTTGGTAGAGACAGGGTTTTCTTCATGTTGGCCAGGCTAGTCTCGAACTCCTGACCCTCAAGTGATCCACCGGCCTCAGCCTGTCAGAATGCTGGGATTACAGGCGTGACCCACTGCACCTGCCCTACTGATGACCTTTGCAGCACTGGCTAGTGGGTTAAGGCCCAAACCTGTGAAGCCTCTTTATACTCTGGCCCTAACAGCCTCTGCAGCCTCAGCCCCAAATCCCTGTCTCCCCACTGCTTAGCCAGATGCCCAGTGGTGCTTCTGCTAATACCCCAGCTTCTCATACCTTTGCACATTCTGTTCCGTCCACCTGAAATGCCCTTCCCTGCTTGGCAAACTTCCATTCATCCTTCAAAACCTGGCTCAAATGCTCCCTCTCCATGATGAGTCTCCCACCGGGGCATCAGCCCTCCCCAGCCAGCTCTTGGATGCCAAGGCGAAATCTTCCCCAATTTCTGCCCCTTGCTCCACCTGGCTATTTTGTTCTGCTGCTCCCCTGCTCAATTCCAGCTGAGTATCGGGAAGACAAATGCCAGGGCTACTGCATTATTTATTGGCAGAGGCAGAGCCAGCAGCTGACACTCATGGTTAAAGAAGAGGAAGGGAGGGCTCAGGGCAGGCCAGTCAGGAAGAGGCAGACCCCAGCTCCCCGGCTCTGTGGAGAGCCTGGGGGTCTACAGGAAACCTGCCAAACTGCCTCCTTGCCCTGCGGGGGGCAGCAACTATCCCTGTCCCGCCAGGCACTGCTGTATCCCTGACCACCCCTTGGGCTTGGCGGGGCTTTCCCGAAAGTGCAGGGAGGAGCTAAGACCCTCAGCTTACTTAGTGCTGCCGCCCTCAACCTCGGCCACCTTCACTGCGGGCAGTGTCTGCGAAGCCACCGGCTCGATGGTGAGCGTGTTGTCCTCCACGGCGGCCCGTACCAGCCCCGAGAGCTACGGCAGACCGGGGTGGCAGGCAGGGTGGTGAGGGGCTAGGCCCCGGGAGAGGGGCAGGACCCCCCAGCTGGCCCCCCTCTGCCATGCCTCACCTCCTGCATCGTGAAGTCCAGGCAGGGACCCACATCCTCCCGGTACACCCTTTCCAGGAAGGGGCAGGTCTTGTCCAGGGTGGGTGATTCCCTCCAGGTCTGGAACTCTGCAAACAGGATTGTGTCCACCTGTGGGGGAGGGTGAGCAGGGTGGGGGCAGTCAGCGTGCTAGGGATGATGCAGGCTGAGCTGAAGGGGAGTGAGGGAAGACGTGGGGTGGGCCCAGCAAGCCAGCAGGTCGGTCCCCAGCAGCCGGGCAGGGAAGCCAAGTCCAGCAGCAGCAGAACTCCCTTCTGCCCTTTGCACCAAAGAATTTAGAACTAAAAGGTTTTTTTTTGAGACAGAGTCTTGCTCTGTTGCCCAGGCTGGAGTGCAATGGTACAATCTGGACTCACTGCAACCTCCACCTTCTGGGTTCAAGCCATTCTCCTGCCTCAGCCTCCCGAGTAGTTGGGATTAAAGTCACCTGCTACCACACCCAGATAACTTTTGTATTTTTAGGAGAAACCGGTTTCACCATGTTGGTCAGGTTGGTCTTGAACTCCTGACCTCAGGTGATCCGCCCACCTCAGCCTCCCAAAGTGCTGGGATTACAGGTGTGAGCCACTGCACCCGGCCTAGAACTAAAAGCTTTGTTTCCAGGTGGGCATTAAGTTTCTGGGCGCTACAGGTTTTTAGAGTGGGGTGCAGGGCTTGGTCCTGAAGACCCTCACTGCCTCCTTGAGGAGGCCTCAGCACCAGCAGGTCGACAAGCACACACGGGCACGGACACACAGGAGGGACGCACACAGGCTGCCCTGGGCCCTCGCCTCAGAGGCAACTGCCAGCCTGCCCCAGGCCGCATGCAGAGGGAGGGAGGCTGGGAGCGGGCACAGTGGGAGACCCCTCTCTGGAGCCATTTACCTGTCGGGAAAAGGAGGGAGAGGGAGTGCAGGCGGGGGCCAGGGGCTCCCCAGGTGGGAGCGGCCAGGCCGGCTCGTAGGTGAGGTGAACTGCCTTGCTGGGGACCACGCAGAGGAGGAGGGAGAGCAGCGGGGGCAGCCCAGGCTGGGCGGGAGAGACAGACAGACAGACACAGTGCACAGAGACAGGAGGAAGGAGCAGAGGTTAATGTTCATTCAGAAGCTCAGAGCTCAGGAGGTGGACGAGGGCCTGCACATCTTCCCTGGAGACAGAGGCGGAGGCCAGGATGGAGCCGGGTGGGCTGGCATCAGGGACCCAGGAAGCTGAAGGCACCACCCACGGCCTTCTGAGGTACTCCCTGGTTGCAGCCCCAAACTCGGCTCTTGATGTCCCTGTCTCTTTGGTTTGTCCAGCAGCCCCAGAAGGCCCCATTCATCAGGTAAGAAAGCTGAGGTGCTGACAGGTGGCCTCATTTGCCTACAGACCCATGACCATGAGTGTCAGCCCAGCCTGGACCAAGCACCCAGTGTGGTCAGCTGAGGCAGGACAGACACCCTTCCAAAGACCACACTTGTCTTGGCCCCACCGTCAGAGGGCGCCAGAAACCCCTCAAGCACAGGGCTGTCACCAGGTGGTCCTGGGCCTCAAGACTGTAACCACACAGGGTCCAGGCAGCCTGTCCCTGGAGGCCCAGGGCCCCTGTTTGGCCCCTGCTTGACCAAGGGAGTGTGTGTCTCAGCAGAGGCCCCAGACCCTCAGGCCCAAAGCCAGCCTCAGGTGCAAAGACCATTACCTACTGCTTGGAGTCAGCAGGGCAGGGAGGGGGCATCAGGCCCCAAGAGGGCACACCCTGGAGGCTGCGGGCCAATGCCTCGTATCACAGAGGTTGGGGAGAAAGGACCTGCCCAGCCCTCACATCCCAGAGAGGTGCAGGACAGCCTCCAGGTCACAAAGCAGCATGGGGCAGGCTGGTCCTCACTGGGCTGTGACCCTGCCACCCTTCCCTGTGCCCAGAGCCGGCCTCCCGCCCTCACCTCCTTGCCCTCTCTGTCTGGGGTGAGGGTATGTCCTGCAGCAGGGCACACGGTAGGGCAGAGGGTGCTGCTGGTGCTCTTGTGGCGAGAGTGGCCCTTTCGGGGCCCGGTCTTGGTGGGGCTCAGCAGCTGGGGATGAAGCTCGCGGTTGGGAGAGGCTGGTGTGGATGTGATGACCAGTGTCTTCAAGGCTGTCACCTCTGCCTGCAGCATGTCGATCTGCACGGGATGGGACACCTGTCAACCCTAACCCAGGCTGCATGCCACCCTGGCTGCCACCGCCTATCAGCCCAACTCAGGACGACGCACTCCTGCAGCAACGAGCACCTGGTCCCACCCGACACCCTCAGAACAACCTTCAAGGGAGAGACCCAGATGCTCATTTTACAGTTAGGGAAACTGAGCTGATACGGCCTGCCCAAGGTCAGGCTGTGAGCAGGATTCTGTTAGGGACAAGTGTCTGGGAGCTGGCTGGGCCTCCCACTGAGTGTTCTGGGCCCCCCGCCCCCGGAGCCAGGAAAGGCCCAGGGCTCACGCTTTGCAGATGGGGAACCAGACTTGGAGAGAGAAAGCGACTTCCCCAGGCTCACACAGCCACACAGAGAGGGATTTCTGCTTTGTAAGGTGGGGCTGGGAGGAGAGGGAAGAAAGTGCAAAAGCCACAGGGTCGTCCCAGCCCCAGGGCAGCCCCAGAAAAGGCCGTGTTGTGCAGCAGTCACTGATGGGGTCCCAGGGCGCTGGGCCATGTGATCTCAGACCCCCTACTCTCCCTCTCCTCCCTGGTCCTGAGATCACCCAGTCCTGCTGGCCCCACCGAACCAGGTGAGTGTCCCCTGGGGTGGTGGAGCTCAGTGCTCACTGAGCCAGGGGGCGGGTGGGTGCCCGGCTGGCCTGGGCAGGCAGGGACAGGCCTCACCTTGCCCCGAGCCTCCTTCAACTGCTTTTCTGATGCCGCCTGCTTCATGTTGGCTTCTCGAACCATCTTGTGAGCTTCCTAGGAAGAAGCAGTCCCTGGGTGAGTGGCGAGGAGCCGATGGGTGCCCAGGTGACCCACTCCCCAAGTGGTTCCCGCGGCCCGGCAGGTGTACCTCAAACAGGCTGGCTGTCAGCTCCTCCAGCTCCTGTTCTAGCTGCTCCCGCACCTTGGACAGCCGCTCACATTCCTCGTCCTTTAGCTTCAGCTCCTGGAGGAAAAGGGACGGGCGCCCAAGCCCCTCAGCATCCCCAGGCCTGGCACAGGAGGGACCCGGCCCACTTGACCAGGCTCCATCCCCCGTCACCTCAGGTGGGGCCCAGAGCTCATTTCCTCCAGTGTCTGACAGTGCGTGAGGCTTTTTCCATTTAGCCACAGCATGAAGCTGAAGCCCTGCCTGCCAGTCCATTAGGGCTCAGGGCAGGTTTGCAGACAGTCAAGATGGGGGTGCCCACCGGTGTGCCCAGTACAGGCCTGGCCTGCAGTTGGCCTTGGTGAGGGCACATCCTCTTCCTTGGGGACATCTCTGGGCACCTGATGAGAGCCCACAGCTCTTCCAAGCTGACTTCTCCCACTAAAGCCCCTCCCGCCTGCCGCGGACACCCACCTTCTGCGCTCTGCGCAGTTCCTCCTTCAGGAACTCAGAGCCCTTCTCTCGGATCTCCATGGAAGAGCTGCGCAGGCGCAACACGTCCAGCTGAGTGGCCACGGGGCCCTCCTGGTCTTGGGCCACCTCCCCTGCGGAGGTCTCCACCAGGGCTCCTGGGGACTCCCTGTGGCCTTGGCAGGGACCTGTGCTCTTCCAGGAGACCGGGACAGCTGCGAGGGACGGCGGGAGGCCCTGGTCTGGCTGGGGTGGGCTGGAGACAAACAAGGGTATCAGCAGGTTCAAGGTGGGGTCCTGAGGCCTGGAGAGTTGAGCCCAGAAGGCCACCCCTGGGCAATGTGCCTGCCACTGGAGCCTCAGCCTTTCCATCTGAAAACTGGGACACTACCAGCTATAATCAGCGTTGTTACGAGGGCGAAATGTCCAAGCACAAGGTCTCTTGGGGCAAGAGGCTCATTCTTCTTTGTCAATCACCCCCTCCAGCCCAGGGCTGCGGGCTGTGTTTGGCACACACAGTAGGTGCTCAGCACACAGTAGGTGGTCAGCGTGTTTGTCTAACAGATGACTGTACATGCATCAGGGTTGAGAACAGGAGTCCCGCTAGTCTAAAGTGAAGCCAATTCAATGGCCCTACCTCAAAGGTCACTGAGTGATCAGATGAGATGTGAGTAAAACCTTGGTACCTGGGACGCACTCAAGCAGGAGCTGCCTTCACTGATACGGTGAATGAGAATTCTGCCCCCTTTGGGGTGAACCAGAGAGGAAGGATGAGGCCAGGGCAGGCAGGGCTGAGGCAGGAAGATTCTGCAAACAGCCTGGGCAAGACAGACCCACTTCCTGTCCCCCTGGACTTGGTGGGGAGCAGTCCCAGCTCTCCCCGGACTTGCCTCGTGACCTCAGGCAAATGCCGCTTCCCTGGGCCTCAGACTCTCCCTTCCCTGAAGCTGAAGTCCCTGGAGGTGGTGTGGGGCCCCATTCCCCCATCCCCACTCCCCACTCCAAAGTGGACCCTAAGAGGGAAGGGAGGGCCAGGGCCCGGCCAGTGGTGTTTTGTGCCAAGACAGCACCTCTGGACTCGCTCAGTCAGCAAAAGCTGGAGGTTCCTGAGCCAGCAGCTTCTGAGCGGCAGCAGCCAGGGCTGGGGATGGGGGGCTGGGCCAGCCGCAGATAACAGTAGGGAAGCTGGGGGAGGGGCCCAGGGAGGCTGCACCAGAGGGGAAGGCAAGGCCAAGGAGAATGTGGGACTCAGGACAGCTGAGGGAGGCAGAGGGAGGAGTGAGAGGCAAGTCTGTGGACCGGTCTCCCCTCCGTGTCCTCAGGACCTTGGGAAGGCTGCCAAGCAGCCCCTGAGCCTCAGTTTCTCCCTTGGTTAACACACAGAAAATGGGCCCCAGAGACCCCAGCAAGGAGCCCACTTCCAGCAATGAGTCCCTTCACTCAGCCCCAGCCAGTTGCCCAGCCCCACCTGCCCTCCACTCTGGAACAGGCCCAGAATGTGGCCTCAAGGCTCCTGCCTGGCAGGGACGTGGGCCTTGAGGACGAAGGTGGGGACATATATCCATCACTCCGTCAATGGTGCCTACGCCAGACAGCGCTCTCTCCTAATACCCTTTCTCAGGGAAGTTTGTTAGCAAGGTCCCCGAGGCTTGAGAGCCATGGCAGCCACTCCCCAGCCCACTGTGCCATGGCAGTGCCCTGGGCTGAAGTCTGTGCCCCGGAGAATCACACTGCCAGACTCTACACAGGTCTCTGGCCACGCTATCTCCTTTAAAACTCTCTCAATAGCCTACAGGAGTGAGCCGGGCACAGTGGCTCATGCCTGTAATCCCAGCACTTTGAGGAGCCGAGGCAGGTGGATCACCTGAGGTCAGGAGTTTGAGACCAGCTTGGCCAACATGGTGAAACCCCGTGTCTACTAAAAATACAAAAATTAGCCAGGCATAGCGGCACATGCCTGTAATCTCAGCTACAAGAGAGGTTAAGGCGGGAGAATCACTTGGCAGAAGTGATTCTCAGAAGTGAATCACAGAAGGCAGAGGTTGCAGTGAGCCGAGATTGTGCCACTGAACTCCAGTCTGGGTGACAGAGCAAAACTTCATCTCAATACAAACAAGCAAGCGAACAAACAAAAACTCAACAGCGCTTGTGGTATCGTCCCATTCTACAGACGAGGGGACGGAGGCTCACAGAGTGAAGGGACTTGCCGGGGGTCACGCAGCTGGTCAGTGACAGTGGTGGGATGGGTGTCTAGGTCTTCAGCCCAGGCCCAAAGCTGCCCCGCTGCAGGGGAAGGGCAGGTGGGGTGGGGAGTATGAGCGCTGGAATCAGCACATCTGCTTCGAGATAAAGGGCTGCCAGGCCCAGTGGGACTCGGAGGCTCCTCTTTGGCTGTAGCAGGGAAATCTGACCGAATTCTGGCCCGAACTGGCTTCTCAGACTTTGCGCATGCCCAGAAACCCCCTTTTCAGGAGGGAGGGCTGGGGCAGGGGAAGCTGTGGCAGAGAGAAGGGGCCAGATTGCGCAAGCCTGGGGTCCATGTCAGCCTCTGACCTGGGGTACACAGGAGCTCCTGGGAAAGTTGCTGAAATTCTCTAATCCTGCTTCCACATCTGAGGGATAGGAGCTGAAATCCTGCAGGAGGTGCTCTAAGAATTAAGAACTCTAACTGCAGTTCCGACCTGGTGCTGGGTGAATCCTGTTCAGTCCACAGACCTGTTTGGCTAAGACACCCACGAAGCCTGCCTGGGCTCTGGGTCCCGCAGCTTAAATTGGAGGCCTGGGGACCCTTGCCAACAAGACACCCCCAAACAAGGGTATTAGGAGAGAGCTCTGTCTGGCGTAGACACTACTGATGGAGTGATGGGGTTGTGTCCCCACCTTCATCATCATGGCCAAGTTCTTCAGTGCCACACGCCCACCTCAAGCACTTTCTCCTACGCCAGCCTCCTTCCCCCAGGGTACAATGCCAAGGAGGCTCTCAGGCCAGCCTGCAAGCCCATAGTCACTCAGGCTGGGCTGCGGGCTGCTCACTCCGGGCCAGGGGTGAGAAGTGACAGGGCAGGACAGAGGACCCTCGCCACCGCCTACGCCCCGGCCGAGGAGAACCAGGCTGCCCATGGGGGCCAAGCCTCATCCACCAGTGTGGCCTGGGCCTCTGGCCACAGTGAAAGACTAACTCTCTCTCCTGCTGGTCCCAAGCACATGTGCTGGAGGTGTGGCCGAGGTGTGGCCAGCAGTCCTCACCATTTTCCCAACAGGCTCTCACTTTTGACTTGCGGGAATATGGGGTGGTGGGGCAGGGGGCAGGGGACAGGGGATAGGGCTCAATTTTGCAGCCAGAGGAAACAACGGTCCAGGAGGCCTGAGACAGAGTCTGTGACACCCTTTGGCAGCAAGTGTGAGAAAATGGGACCAGCGGGACCAGCCGGTAGCTACCAACTCCCAACGCCAAAGGTGTCAGGAGCAGGAGGGGAAGAGAGCCTGCCCTGCACTTTGGGGGTAGCTGGAATCTGCAGACCCTCCTCCCCTCACTTCCAGGCTGCAAGGCCCACTCTTGACACTCCGAAATTTCAAAGAAGGGACCCTGGGCTCCTTGGATCCAGCCCAAGCCAGAATCTCCGATCTCACCCACACTTCAGCCTCCCAGGCCACAGGCCTAAAATCCTGGCTGTGAACACCCACGTCAGCGGGGAATGCAGTCCTCCGGTGAGCAGGGACCACCCAAGGCTCTGCTGCCTGACTCCCTACCCTCCTCAGTCGGGATCCACTACTCTCTGTGCAAACCTCAGTCCCTGTTCCCTGCAGAAACAGCCCAGCATCTGAGATGAGCCGCAGACGCCTCCGGAAAGGAGCCTGCTCAGAGGGTAAGAGTCAAGGTCAGAGGTAGATGGGGAAGCCAACATCCCCCATCCCAAAGCCGGCTCCCACTGCCGAGAAGTTCTGGCCGGTTCGTACAGGAAAGGCCCCATGGGTCACTTCCCCAGGAAACACACGAGAGAAAACGCAGCAACCACAATCCTCACCCCACCAGGCCTGCCCTAGAAGGGCCAGCAGGGCTTTTGCCCCGACCCACAAAATAGAGGGGAGACCTAGACTCCATGGCCTTAGGTGTCTCAGTATCCCCCCGAGCCAGCAGGGCCCGGCCAGAGGCCAGACCAGCATATCCCTTCCCCAGTGGCCAAGATGACCCTGTCCAGGCACCTCCTGGAGCTAAAGACCCCCTGTACTTATGGGCACAATGGATTCATTAAATAAGCAGGGGAGGGGACAGCCAGGGCAGCTCTGAAACTGGGTGAAGGAGAGGGCTGGGAGGGCACACTGGGACCACTCAGTGGGCTGCCAGGGCCACAGGCCTCTAGGGAGGCTGCAAAAACCCCAACCCAAGGCCTGGCTCCCAGGAGCAGTGCTACGGCACAGGGGCTGGTTCAGACTCACGCTCGGCCTCTGTAGTAAGGCTCTGAGGGGCCGGGTGAGGTGGCTCACGCCTGTAATGCCAGCATTTTGGGAGGCTGAGGCGGCTGGATCACCTGAGGTCGGGAGTTCGAGACCAGCCTGACCAACATGGAGAAACAACATCTCTACTAAAAATACAAAAAATTAGCCAGGCATGGTGGTGCATGCCTGTAATCCCAGCTGCTGAGGCAGGAGAATCACTTGAACCTGGGAGGCAGAGGTTGCAGTGAGCTGAGATCATGCCATCGCACTCCAGCTTGGGCAACAAGAGCTAAACTCCATCTCAAAAAAAAAAAAAAAAAAGTAAAGCTCTAAGGAAACAGAGGTTGACAGCCATGTGACTCACATCCAGGGACCAAGGGGGTCCCAGGAAAGGGTTCGTGTGCTAGCTCTCAGGCCAGCCTGCAAGCCCAGCAAAGCTCGGCTCCTCCAGAGAGCGGCCAAGTCTTTAGCCCCAAGCCCACAAGCATGTCAGGTCCCCAAGCTCTTGGCCACATCCACGCCAGCCCACCACTCCACACGTGTCACGTACTGGAGGCTCGGGACAATGTTGCAGGGATGCGCTCCTCCGTCTGGGCTCCAGGTGAGGCCCCTGAGGTCCAGAGAGGATGGTGATCTGGCCAGAATACACAGCAAGGAAGTGGCAGGGTGGAAACTGAGCACGGAGTACAGGCAAAGCACACCACGTGGCATGTCACCCAGAGGAAAGGGGATGAATGGTGGTTTTGGAGAAGTGAGGCAGGAGGCAGACGGGGTTTGAGGAAGTCTGAGACGGTGCCCAAGTGCTGGGGGTGCCACCCA